TATATATATATATTAAAGCGGTGTTGCCATCTTTGTGTTTAGAATAAAGTTTCTTTATTCAGTGTTGCTTCCCAGACCCACCCCTATACTTCTATCTTGGGGACGTAACATCGCTCTACTACTGTAGAGGAACTACTGTTTTTCTACTCCGTTGTATTTTGGCTAGATAAGAAAACACTATATATTAACCATATTTGTGAAATTATTTTGTTACAGCAATGGAAGTAAGTGTTGTAGTATGGTACTAATAAAATATAATTGAATTTCATAGGGTCATTACTTACACAATGAAACTGACACTTCTTATTTTCATGCCTTCACCCTTTAAATTTTCTTCCAGGTTTTTCAGTGTGAAAGTGAATGGAGGCCTGTGCTGCCGTTGGTGGCACGCTCATTGAAGAGTTCATAGTGAATTTAGGATGTGACTCTGGTAAAATCCACACTGCCCTGTAAAAGGCCAACTAATCCTACCTGTAATCACTATTATCCCCCATCCCCTCAACAACACTACCACCACACCAAAAAAAAAAGCCCCCCACAAAAACAACCTCTCATTTGTTTGCTGAACAAACTCCTCATGGTGTCATTCAGAGATTTGGGCAGCTGAGCATCATGTGTCTGCTGTGAGTCCTGCTAATGTTTCATGCTGTGTGTGATTGCTTTAATGAAGTGCAGGAATTCATACTTCTATAGGCTTTGTCCTTTTTATATGCTTTTTGTTGTTTTTACTTTTATACAGAAATGGTAACTTTGTGCTTCTAATTTATTGTTTAGCAGGTTTGTAATATAACAAAACGTGCTGTCCTGCAGTTTTAGCTAGCAGAATCATGGTCTGAATGCTTTGCTGTACCAAACATTTGCTTTGCCAAGAGGCGTGTTAATGACTCCTTATAGGGTCCACTTTTTAGTCCTTTTTATTACGTTTATTTTAGTGTTATTCTATTGTTCACATTAGTATATGTGGTTGAACAATACTGGAGCTGACAGGAGAAGACAAAACTATCCAACTTTTGCATCTGTAATAAAGTGCACTGAAAAACAATGAGACACATGATGACAAAAATTGCTGTGTGCGAAGAGAGCGAAAGTGTCTGAGTCTTTGCCACAAAACATGCAGGATAATGAGGTTTAGAATCTCCAATCTTTCCACATGTAAGCTCTAGCACACCTGGCCCATCCATGTACTGAAGACCTGAGGTCACGCATCTCAATGGCAACCAAATACCTACCAGAAGGACGCTAGATACAAACCAGGGATCTGTGATTTCCCCCACAAAACAACATTAAAGCAAACTAGTTTAAAGAAATAGCAGGAAGTCAAGTGCCTAATGTAATGGCAGTAGAATCCAATCATTATTAAGATACTTCATCAGCCCAAAGAGAATTCACAGAATGAATAACATTCATGACAGTATCTTATTTATCTGATAATTTTACTGTTCTACACATACAAAGGTAAATTTATATCCCTGACCTATATGTAACTCTGTCTGTGAAGATGGATTTAAGAAATAAGTGTTTTCAGTTTTAAAATGACCTCATGTGGTTGGTTGCGGCTATAATAGACTGGTGACACAAGAGAACTCGGAGAGAAATAACAGTAAAACTAAATAGTTTGAAGGGATCACTGCCCATGGCTGCTATCCAAACAACCTACAGCTACTTATTGCTAAAGACAGTAAAGTGGAGAGTATGGCTAATATAGCCCAATAAGTGATTCCCTCAAACTGATCTTCTGTTTTAGTGTCGTTATTTTCCTTTGAGTTATTGATTCAGTCTCTAGTTAGCTAACATAAACTAATTTAAAGCTATGACCTGCAACTAACCCGGTGACGTAACGTGTAGGACTGCCACAGCAGTTTTTGGGCCTCCATCTTACTCTATCCTCTTGTACAGTACATCAAACCAAGCTACATGCCCTCTTCTACTGTATCTATTAACTTTCTCTTTGATTTTCTTCTTTTCCTCTTGGCAGCTTAGTCTGCAACATCCATCTCCTGATATACCACTATCTGTCCTCTGCAGCTCTTTCATTCATCTCCAAATCCTCCAAACCTAAGCTGTGCCTCTTAGTCATTTCTAATCCTGTCCATCCCAGGAAAAAGGAGTCTTCAAAGAGTCTACCTGTTGCAGATTGCCACCTAGAGAGGAAATACAGTTGAAACGTTTCAAACACCATCACCAGTTTAGAAATCGTGATGAAAACCTGTACACATTATCAATCAGACATTGACAGGTTGTCTTTGGTCTGCAAAAATGTGTAGCTGGGTGAATGCCTGGACGACGCTTTCCCAGCAGGTCACTGCATCATAATGACACAATCGCTTGTTATTTGCTCCACCTGTATTCACTTTACCTGCCTGTTTTAATGTTGTGGTTGATTGATGTGAAGCTAAACAGGGCTAATGAGGTTTTAAGAGAATGCAATGCCCGAATGTGCAGTTTCTAAGAACTAGTAGTGATAATGGAACCTGAAAGCAAAAAGGAAAAACACTGTACAGTATTGTCCCTGTTATCAGCTGTTCTAACCGTGCCTCTTATTGCACCTGAGTTCTTTGAGTCATCAGATAATTAGGGGTTGACACAGTCACTTGTGATAACAATGATGCTGAGAAGGGCAAATTGGGAGATGGTACTTGGTTTCACAGTCTAGCATCAGTGGGCGTCACAGAATCGTTGATAGGAGGTTACATAAGGACCTGGTCATGTTGACTTAGTCTTAGTGTCGAGGATCTAGACAGGAGTCACTAGTCTCTCTCTCTGTCTTTTGTTCAAAGATTCAGTCAGAGAATTTGGGACCTAAGGTCGACACAGAGCACAGCAGCCATGGCAGGTGAGTCTCAATCTGGAGTATAGAGCTATGTGAGCGGGATTTCTTTATTTTTTTTTAAGAAATATTTCCTGACACACACAGATTATTCGGTTTCTACTTTGTTTCCATAAGTATATAAGTTATATGGGACTTATGTTAACTTCTTTCTGCAGTTGAAAAGATAAAGAAGCCCAAGAAAAGAAGTGTAAGTTCAAGTTGCACCGCAGTTCATCCTTTTGTACTGACAATACACAGTGCTTTGATCTTGTTGCAATATCCGTGAAGATTAAACGCTGCAGACCTTCTCCTTTCCCCTTTAACAGGCCACAATCTTCGGCTACCCACTGAGCATCTTTTTCATTGTAGTTAATGAGTTCTGTGAGCGATTTTCCTATTATGGGATGCGAGGTAAGTGGCTTCATTGGGTTCTGATGTTATTTTTCTTCACCTGAAAGTTGATTTAATCAAGTATTTACTGTATGCTGTTTAAGGATGTTTTTATGCTACTGTGCGTGTATAACTTTCCACTAGATTTTTGACACTTATAGTTACTTTATTTTTATTTTTTTTACTTAACACGCAGAATGAATTTTTAGAATATAGAGCTTCAACTCAATTAACTTTTTCCTTTGTGCCCCCCTGCCTTCCTCTCTTCTTGCTGTCTGCAGCCGTGCTGGTGTTGTACTTCAAGTACTTCCTTAAGTGGGATGAAGACTTTGCCACCACCATCTACCACACATTTGTGGCTCTTTGCTACCTAACGCCCATCCTGGGAGCTATTGTGGCAGACTCATGGCTCGGGAAGTTCAAGTGAGCTTCTCAATAAAATAAAATCAATACATGAAAAGACACCAACCTATAATTTGCTTGTATTCAGTTTCAGTATTTGCATGAAGACTCAGTTTAAATGGTTAAAGTGTTTAACCTTGGAGTTTTGATCCTTGTCTATCTTACCTTTATCTGTACATGCTGTACATCTGCTCAGTGCCTCACACATCCCTTGTCCTATTTCCTCTGTGTAGGACGATTGTCTACCTGTCCATTGTTTATACAGTGGGACAGGTCGTCATGGCTATAAGTGCTATCCAGGACATCACAGATGCTAACAAGGATGGCACCCCTGACAACATGACCTTACACGTGTGAGCTAAACAAACCCAGAGTTGACTGGCATAATAGAAATCCACTGGATCCACACTGTCAGACAAATGAACATCTGTCTGTACTTTGTTTTGCCCCCAGAGCTTTGTCCATGCTGGGTCTCTTCCTTATTGCCTTGGGAACAGGAGGCATCAAACCCTGTGTGGCTGCTTTTGGAGGGGACCAGTTTGAAGATCATCAGGTCAGACGGTGCTCAAGCATATGTGTTACTGCAGAGAGTGGAACTCGCCAGAAACACCTCATTTTTCAAAGAGTCCAAGAGTTTTACACATTCATTACAGACTGTATATAAAAGGTGGACATAGCCACCTTGACGTGAATCTCAGTCTCGACATCTGTGACCATATATGTTATTATAAAACAACACGACAACCAAAACCACACACAAATTAATGCAGCAACAAAGAGATGTACTTTTACATGTAATTATACACACACCAAATATATACATGACAACATACACTGACTGCCCTTTGCACACAGCAGTTAAAGCTACACAGTTATCAAGGTTATCAGCTGTACTCGGTCAGCACTTTGTTTATCTGTTTTTTTGTTCCTGCTAGCTTTTTATTAACTACTTGATCGCAAGCACAAGTGCCCCTGTAATTTTATTACACCCTTCAAGGCCAGGGACAAAGATTAATCCATAATGTTAATGACATGGCTAAATTATCTAAGGAAATAAGTGTGCAATATAATGCTGTGCCCCACAGGAGAAACAGAGAAGCACCTTTTTCTCCATCTTTTACCTGTCCATTAATGCTGGAAGTCTCATCTCCACTCTGATTACTCCCATTCTCAGAGGTAGAGCCACGACACTCAAACTGATCACAGAAAAGAAAATATACCGCTGGATCACAAACTGATTTTTGTGTCCTTATATCTTCAGCTCAGACATGTGGTATTCACATCCAGCAAGAGTGCTATCCGCTGGCCTTCGGTGTCCCTGCTGCGCTCATGGTGGTAGCTCTGAGTAAGGATTTTATTATAAAAAATTCTTGTTTGCTGTAATAAGCAAATTAATGCTTCGTGCGATGACGTATCCTTCATTAAGTGTTGACAAATTGTAGCTAAGTAGTTGAGTGCTTGTTACAGAAATTCTAACCAAGCCGCTAAAAAAACCTAGTAGTCACCATAAACTGTGTTTTCTAAGAAAGTTGCACCATAAAGAGATAACTGGTGAAACAATATTGTCATTTATAATTTCCTGTTACTTTTGTAACTCCTGTATGTGTTGTGTGTGTGTTTGCAGTTGTGTTCATTGTTGGAAGTCCCATGTACATTAGGAACCCCCCGCAGGGTAACATCATTGTGAAAGTTTGCAAGTGCATCGGGGTAGGTGGTTCCAGTGTCTTTCTAGCTTAAAAGTGAATCCCATTTGAATCTCCTGCTGTACAGTTACAGTAATTATTTTGCAATTGTCTTTCTGCTGTTTGTAGTTTGCCGTCAAAAACCGTTTCAGGCATCGTTCTTCTCAGTATCCCAAGAGAGACCACTGGATGGACTGGGCTGAGGAGAAATATGATGTAAGTGGAGCACAGGCACATGCAAATACAAACAGCATGGCCATAGATTTCTTATCATGTTCTTATTTTTGGCATAGAAACTCCTGATTGCTCAGGTGAAGATGGCATTGAAGGTGCTGTTCCTCTACATCCCTCTGCCTATGTTCTGGGCTCTCTTTGACCAGCAGGTATGTGTGCATGCGTGAGACTATGAATAACTAACACCTGAATCCAGTGTTAGGAACATACTGTCTTGAGTGAATGAGTTACTTTTACCTTATAATATAGGTAAATCCCACATTTACCGTATTTTCCGAACTATAAGGCACACTTAAAACCCTTTAATTTTCTCAAAAATCGACAGTGCGCCTTATGGTCTGAAAAATACGGTATATGGCCTTGAGATGGCTGTAAAACTGAAATGAAAGATTGAAGCAAAATCCAGTGACAGGAAAAAAAATGACAACTGTGTTTGTTTCACAGGGTTCAAGATGGACCTTCCAGGCGACCACAATGAACGGCAACTTTGCAAGTGTTATGTTTTAATGTTTTGATGCAAAAAAACAGTTAAATACAGGTATAACACCTTGTGACCTCAAACCACAGAAATGGATGATATTAATGAGACTGTTTCTCTTCTTTTCCCAATAGGGAGCGATTACAATCCAGCCTGATCAGATGCAGGTGAGATACTGGGCTTGATTACATCTGACCTGATTAAATTAAGTATTTTTCATGCATGAAGAGCTGACAGCATTGGGAGAGTCTGGGATTGTCAACAAATCCCTGTCAGAATCAGCCAGTGGTTTAGATGATGGTGCTGGTTTAGCATAATGTCCTGAATGCATGATTGTGATATAAAGCGATGCTCAAAACCACACTGTGTGTGTGAACATGGCTTAAGCATCACTCTCTTCCCACCAGACTGTCAATCCTATCTTGATCCTGATTCTGGTGCCAATCATGGACACTTTGATCTACCCTCTGATTGCCAAGTGCTTTAACTTCACGTGAGTGTTTTGTTCCGTCTTCATTTTGTTGAATCGATACCATTTTACATTCAAGAATGAAAACAAAATTCATATTTACTATCCATTAGTCATCTTATAATTTCTGTTAATGTATATTGTTATACTGTGTAAGAAAATAGTTGTTTGATGAATTAGCACAATTAATATTTTTTGTTAATGTATATATTTTAGGGTCTTTATTTCTTTACAGTAACCTTTTAAATAATTGGTTCACATAGCAACTAATTAATGTACTACATCGTAGCTTGTTATCTTTATTTAATTATAATTTATTTTTTTGTAATAAAAGAAAACAAAGCAAACTAACAAAAACAACTAATGTTTAATTAGTTGCATAAACGGTCTGTAGAAGATTACATGACTGTAAACAAATCACATCACCAAATTATAAAATGTGTTCAAACTGTAGAAATCTTTAAATAAGCAATTACTTTAAGCCTTCAAAAAGACAAATAGAATAAAGTAAATGCCTCCTATAAAATGACTTCCTGTAAACACTGTTCCATGTGGCTGAATATAGGATAGTGATATAAAGAGGATTTCAAGTGTGTGTGTGTGTGTGTGTGTGTGTGTGTGTGTGTTCTGCAGTCCTTTAAGGAGGATAACAGTGGGGATGTTCCTAGCTGCTCTCGCGTTTGTGGCTGCTGCCCTGCTCCAGATACAGATTGATGTGAGTGTAACACAAAAAAAAAACCCCAAGCACACTTTTGGCAACTTATTAAACATGCATCGTATGATGCAAAATTCCATTGTTCTTTTAGAAAACCCTGCCTGACTTCCCATCAAGTACTGAAAGCCAAGTGAAGTTCATCAACATGGTTAACAGGGATCTACAGATTCAAGCTGATAACAAAACGATTTCCTTGAAAGGTTTTGGGGTATACTAGCCAACACAAGAAACTATTCCCAGACACTTTGGTCAGATGCAAGTTTGAAAAATTTTCTGATATTGGCAATTGTTTTCTCCTACAGGCTAATGAGGATTATCTGACCTTTCATAACCAGTTTACACTGGTTCTGGAGTCTGGGCAACAAAATACCATCAATTTGGCTAATGGCACTCGGAATACCATTGCTATCATTCAGGGATCCAAGCTTGGGTTTGAAAAGGTAAAAACACCTGGCCAACCCTCAAGCAAAGCTGGGAAAATTTTACTGTAAAATTCTTAATATTGGGAGCATGAACTTGGCCTTTTTTCTCTCCAATCTCCTTGGTATAATTCCTAAAGATTTTTCAGATTAAAACTCTTGCAGCCTTTACTTAACATGTAGACTTTCAAGGTAAAAGCATGGAGGAATGAAGCATTTTGTTGATGGAAGAATAACATATTTGTAAAAACTTACATGTACGTTGAGACAGCTGAGATGAAAATGATACAGTGCATGTGAGATGCTAAAATATTCTTTTTCTCCAGTTCGATGACATGACTTCAAAGCCAGAAAAGGGTGAAAATGCTATAAGGCAAGTGTTTTGTTGTTTTTGTTTTTTTAAAGTTACTCATACATTTTACATTACTGCCGGAGGTTTCTTCCTGTTAAAACAGAGTTTTCCTTCCCACTGTTTTATCGTGTATGATGAGTTAGGCCTTGGTATTAAATTATTTTGTTTATAATTGGATCTTTTCTGTTTTTGAACTGTCCTTCCGCAGAGTTCTGAATGGTTTTGGCTCAGATTTGAATGTAACCGTGCGTGACAAGTTGTTCAACTTTACCAGCAACATGTCAGAATATCTCAGTGTTTCACATGGAAAGTAAGACTGAGTTCTCATTCATATGAAAGTTCTATATGGTTATACTATACTATACTGTTTTGACTGGTGGTTTTCTTTAATATGGCAGAGCTGAGTTCATGATCAAGGATAATAGAGAAAGCTGCGTCTACACTCAGGAGCTGGGCTTTGGCAGCTCTTATACATTGATCATCCCATCCACTTTCACATTTGGAGAAATGGTAACATGTAAATCCACCCTGAGTCATATCATGGTTTCAGTGTTTGTTGGAAGCAGCTAAGACATGCATACCTCTCTGTATGCTCCAGTGCTCAGAGAACATCAAGGCAGTGATGGACATGAAGCCTAACTCTGTGCACATGGCCTGGCAGATCATTCAGTATTTCCTCATGACTACAGGAGAGGTCGTCTTCTCTGTGACAGGCCTCGAGTTCTCCTACTCACAGGTAGAGGGTGCTCTCCTTAACTTTTCTCATTTGATAATAAGGTCTGTGCCAGCTGCCTAGAGAATGCAACATGTAACCTGAGGACTGATGATGTCATTCTTGATGTTACTTATAATTTGGGATACTGCTTTTTGCTATCCAGGCACCCAGCAACATGAAGTCTGTGCTGCAGGCTGGCTGGCTGTTAACCGTTGCCGTAGGTAACATCATTGTGCTTATTGTTGCTGAGGCTGCAACGCTAAATGATCAGGTGAGTGGATGCATATGCATACTGTGCTCACTGACTTTGGGCAGGTTTATTTTAAGTGATATAAATGTCTGTAAGTTGCTGTACTTGCGTTTCATGGACAAGAACAACACAGGTTGAGTTCAATAAGGTACACCAGAAGTGCAGTGAAGAATTTCAGAACAACCTATGACTGGTGATGCAGTCTCTCACCCTTTATACCAAGCTCCAAATGAACACTTTTTTGTGTTTCTCTTCACCAGTGGGCCGAGTACATTCTCTTCGCCTCCTTGCTGGTGTTGGTGTGTATCATCTTTGCCATCATGGCCTATTTTTACACTTACACTGACCCAACCAAGATAGAGGCCCAGTTTGATGAAATGGAGCCTGAAGAGAAGGAGAAGAGGAAAAACTTCGACATGCCCAGGAAAGGCTCAGCTGAGAGCCACAAAGAGGACAGGAGGAGTTCTGATTCCAGCTCTGATGACGAGTGCACCAAACAGACAAAGATCTAAAGCAACTCCCTCACTATGGCTTTCCCCTTTCTTCTGCTGGATTTTGTCTTTCATGTCTCAGAGTGCCTGTGCCATTTTGGTCAATTTGTCAGAGAAATCAGCTCACAGTTGGACATGGACGTAGCAGCTAGAGTGACCCGAGTGAAATGGCACTGAATAGCACAGAAGCTGATTATCCACATATCAGCTCATATAATTAAAAACCATTCATAGGTTTGTCATCTATAGTTGAACTGTTGTAAATTTGACATGATTTCTTTTGCACTGAGCTTTATTATCTTCAACTAATTTTGTCTTTCATGTTTTTACACATGCATAATTACAAAGAAATCATCCCAATATTTGTATTTATTTCAAAGTGCAATGATGTATGTATTGTAATATGCTGTTGGTATTTTATACATAAACGATATTAACAGGAGATAATCTGGCACCACACACAGCTTCCTCAGTAAGAAATCTTTGTTATTGAAAGTCTGAATTAATTTTGGGCTTGAAGAACACTGTCATGTTATGGCTATTCAATGCTCCAATGCTCTGACACTAAACATCTATGTCAGCGGTGGTTTCTTCCACATATGCAATGACATCATTTAAAATCAGTGTCTACGTTCTTACAATTCTGTAACTGAATATGCCTTCAAATACAAATGATTGCAGCTAGTTTGATGACTGGGTGGATTTGTCTTTCAGTGCAAGAAGGTAGTATTCACCATTCTTGCCCAAAGTACTTACCACAAAAAAAACATACAAGTTATTGTGATTACAATAAATCATACTCATGAACTATATATTAGAAATGGTTTATATCATATCTGGGTAATTACTTGGTGCTAATTATTTAGCTTTAAAAAGAGGACACTGACTGTAGTAAATATAGCTCAGTTTGCCATTTCTCTGGTCTCACTGACATTTAATGTCAGTAAATAAAATACTGCCTCAGCCTCCTAGTAGATGCACTTGCCAGACCTGGTGATCAAGAACAAACCTATTGTTGCATTAACAGGTTCATGTTGTGTAGTGTCTCTACTGCAGTTTTAATTATCTTTCACTGTAGCTGTCGACCAATGTGCTCCAGTCACTGTGACTTTGAGGCAGTTACTATCCTAAACTGCCAGAAGCTCCCCTTCTGTGTTCTGGGAATTTTGAATAAGAACAGGACTTTTTCTTTCCTACCTAAAAACAAACAACAAGCAAATGTATACTTTACCATGCTGGGGAATTGCTTTAGCGTCCTTTAGAAACACTTGTGAATGTGGCACAATGGTAGGGGAAGTGGAGTAACTAAATTCCTGAATGGTGTTGAAGGAGTTTCCAGTCTACAAACACAACTCCTGAAAAGTAAATGTGGCCATTATGTTCTCAGTTAGATTAGATCTTTATTTCTCATGTCACTTTGAAAGCTTATAAGGAGCTTAAATTTAACTTGGGGATTCTCAAATGACACAAGCAAAGATTATATACAGTATTATAAACTGTCAGCTATGATAAAGGAGACCAAATGTACACATTTTGTTATTTTCGTAGCATATGTTTTTCTGTAAGTTACAGATTTTTCTTTTGTTGTTGCCAGAGGCAGGTGCTGATATCCATAAAGCATTCCATATTTCCATACTTAACTCTTTGCAGTTATAAAAATATCACATATTTCTTAATTTCTTTCAGTCCCTGTGTTGACAAGTGCGTCTTGATGCAACTCACCAACATTATTGCTGCATTAGCACAGTAGTAAATTCTGGAACTCTTAAGTAAACATATATAGTAAAACATGGCTATTAGCAATTTTTTGTTTTTTTTTTACAGGTTTCTTTAAATACTTGACACACTTTCAAAGTGCAAAAAAACTGATCTGAAAATTAGAAAAAAAAAGGTGCAAATCATACTACAAAGATCTGGTGAAAGCATAAAAGAAGACATGGCACTTCTATAGCACGGTGTGGAGGTGAGAACAGAAATGTGTGAGGATAATAAAGATGGCATTGGATTCTGCAGCTTGGCTTGTGCTGATCAATAGTTTAATTTGGCCATGAGCAAAGTTTTGTGTGGATTGATTGCCTTCTTGGGGCCTTGCCATTTTTTCCTCATCTCCACGTTGAGTTTCTAAACACTGCTAAGGAGAAATTACAAGCCGAGGAATAATAATACTTCACATATCAGCATTCGATCACCCCTAAAGGTTCCTCTTTGTAATTGTCCTAACTTCATCTTGACCTACAAAATTTCAAAACTGACTTTAATTGTCTAAACGTAAGTACAGGTAGCAGTTTTCCTCCTGACTAAAGAAACAAAGGAAATTCTTCTGCCACTAAACAAAGTCAGCTTAGTAACAAAGTTAGTTTGATTCAGCAGGTGATTGAAATGTGAGATTGAAACCAAGTCACTTTGGAAAAAAAACCCACAAACCCCAAAACACTGATGAATCTCACTCACTGATAAGTCAAAGAAAACTGATGTAATGCCAGAACACAGATTTGTGTGTATCTGTAAAGGCAAGGCATTTTCTGTTCTTACTGTTGGAGTAACTTTAAATATCTGCTTTTAAACATTATCAGTATCTACAAAATGCGCATGACCATTTTGTACACAGTGATTCAATTCCCGCAATGACAACTTGTATTCATGTACAGCATGGCCCCCCACCCCCCGCGCCATTGGAGGACAAATTCCACTTAAAGCACTTTACCTGAGGTTTCCTTATGAATGCTGCAATTTGCCTAAGCAGGGAGTCTTACTTGCGTGAGAGAACACATGAACACGCAGTCACAGGTACACGCGCACGCACGCACACACAGCTTGCACACTAAGATAATAACCCTGCAGGTTCATCAAGCATGCTTTCAGAGGTTTGGGGGGATATGATTCCTACTTTGGGAGTGGGGGAGGGGTAGGGCAGCTGAAGTCTTGTTGTGGATTTTGGGGAGATTTTTTTGGCTCCTTGTGGACTCTGCTGTGTGAGGCTGGAGGAGTCTCCTGTACACAGAGCCCAGCATCGCTGACATCACTCTGACTGAGTTTGTCCCATCAAAGCCTTTCCAGCAGGTCTTGCTGCCCCCTTAACTTCTCCTTATTACTGAATAAAAGAAGCTCTCCAGAGGTTCCTTCTTTTCCTCTGATTTGGAGTTCAGTCATTTTTATAGGCCAGGTTAGCACCCCGCCCTACACAAAGAGGTCACATGTGGTCAGCTGGTATTGAATGACATCACCCCTGACTTTGAACCCTCTGATCTGGCTGCGGTGTTGGATGGGGGGGTAGGGGCTTGGGAGAGCAGGGCTGGGACAGAACCAATCACTAAGTGGAGGAAGTGGATGTCTTGCTTGTGGAGAAACTGGAAGAAAGAAGAGACAAGTATAAAACAGATTAATGGCATCTTCTGCTTTGTATAGTTACTGACTTCTGAGCACTAAATCTGAGGGAAGCTGTTACCTCTGGAGCCTGTGCACCATGTGAGCGACCAATGAATCAGAGATGCCAGGGTAGGCCTCCTCAGCCAGCAGGATAGCCTCTTTCAGCTCATCCAGGACCAAGGGGTTCCCGTTCACCTGTTCCTGTCGTGCCTTCAGCTGGGAGGTAGAACACAAGGGAAGGAGCCACACACTTTGTTAATCTAATGACACAAAGACAATACAAAACTACACATCTAAGGAGCTAGAAACGGTTGAGCATTAATTTTGCACAACAGGAAGAAGTGGTGACATGTTGTTTATCTTTATATACCACGTATGTTCTGAAAACGCAGTCACTCAAAATGTAAAAACAAAATAAAACTGCTTGTTTGATTGAGTTTAGTCAATTAATTTGAATGTTTAGATGAGTGAAACAGACAAAGGGAAATTACTCAATGGAAGCCCTGCTTGAAAACCATGGAAACGCAGCAAAGTTCATTTGGACAACACCAAAAACTATGTGAGCGAAAGAATGAGTCACACACAAATTACAGTTCCCAAAATATTCAGTGTGAAAAACAAGTCTCGTCTATAGTTTGCAGAAATCCACCACAGCTACACGAGTCAGACCAAGTGAGAAGTGATGGCTGTGGAGGAGAACAAATACTCAGCTGATCGTCCACATGAAGCTGCTTACCTCAGATAATGCAGGAGAGATAACAGTGGCCAGGCTCTGTGAATAAGGCCTCTTTGGAATGTCTTTTTTCTGTGTTAAAAGAAAATAAAGAAGTGCACTTACAGGGGATTAAAAAACAAAAAATTCTCAATTTCCCCAAATAACATCACAACTTTTTATCACAGTAAAGTGCGCATAAGCTGCAGATACACTATGTCAAAGTAGGAAAATGGAGCTGGCTAAGGAGCCAGATGGATAAAGTGTCAAATTAAAAAATTTTAAAAACTAGACAAAAATCCATTCATGGCTGACCTGATCTGTTGTTCCTGACTGGCCATCCCCATTCTGCAGCTTCTTGGGGTCCTTCTCTCGGATGGTGAAGATCCAATCATCACTACCAAAGTCATTCCCACCTGAGGCCTGGCCATCCTGCTCTCTGATTGGACAGATATTAAAGAGGATTTTGGACATTTATCAGGATGAGTGATAAAGTCATGCATGTTAAGTGCTTCCAGCTCATCAGAACAAAGCAGCACAGAGATGAATGCATTTTTTCGTTAATGAAAATTCACTTCACAGTTAAAGACATTTTGGACTTACGAGTCGGACTCGTCGGAACTGGATTCTGTGGTTCTAGACTGCTCTGCCTTCCACCTTTTGTACTTGTCCACCAGTTCGGTCAGGTAGGACGTCTTCTTCGCATGACGGACGATCAGCTTATGCTTCAGCAGCTCTTTGGCAGTTGGTCTCTGTAAAAACAAAGCTTTGAGATGAGCATGTGATGCAGTCTGAAAACTCTGTACAGACAGCAAAACAAAACTTAATATTACTTACAAAACTGGGCTCTTTGTTGAGGCAGGCCTCGACAAATTCCTTGAGTGGTTTACTGTAGTTGCCCTCCAGTGTGGGCGGATTGTTCTTTGGGATGAGGAATAAAACCTTCATTGGATGGAGATCTGAATGGGGCGGCTCACCCTTTGCCAACTCAATAGCAGTGATGCCCAGAGACCAGATATCAGCCTGGAACACACAGAAGATAAATATAAGATAAACTAAATGTAAGAGTTCTCGTTATACCTTGGAGTGACTGACCGATGACTGTGGAGCTGTGGACATCCTTTACTTTGTGACAAAGAAGCTAAAAACAACTAAAAATAACTAAATTCCACAAAGCTAGATAAAGAAAAAGATCATTTGTGGTCAAGTAGTGAAAATAACAACTAAAAAAAGTTCATTTTAAGGCCACACATGTACTTTGTTATCCACTA